GGCAGACTGTGATGTAATCTTTTGCTTAAACTTCCTTATTTAGTCTGCTTTCACCGTTTCTCTCTGCTTTAGTTTTCAAGTTTCCTATGAAATGATTTAAGTTTCCACAGTTCACAATGTGCGGACATCGTAACAATGTTCTTTTAGTAAGCGGTTCACTTAGAAGGGTTGTTATATGTCAAGATACCAAGATTATCAATAAACAACATCTTTGAAGTATTTTTGCTTATTATCGTTACATATTGTCCATATCGATCGACATCCTAGCACATCGGCCTGACCCATTCGTGCTCGTTTCCATTTGCAGCAGCTATCGCAGTGTCCTCATGCCTGTTTGAGTTGACTGGTATATCTTCTTTTTTTATTATGTACCTCGCAACCGATTTCTGCAATTTGCCCTTGTATCGCAAAGACAGGCATCTTTCAAAATGGATATCAAGATATGTATGGTCTAGTTATCTTTCGATATCATCTCTAAACATACTGACAATCGATATCTTGACAACCGATATTCAGTAAGAACCATATCACTGCAGTCTTATCTAGGTTTACTCTAGCCCCTGATTCCTCACATCATCTGGTGTATGTTAACTTTACAGTACCTTAACTGTCGCCTCTTTGTTTGTACCCACTTTGGACACTTTAACACCCAGAGGTATGAACTGCCAACACAGTTTCATCTTCCATCCTAGGGGAGTGAACTGCCCACTTTTAAAAATCTAAATCCCTCCAGTTACGGCCCATGGAATTCCCCCCGGGCTATTTATTCTCCAGTCCCGTGTGCATCGTCAATCTATTGACAAGACATCGAACTGGCCGCTTCGATATACTAAGTTATGTGATTTTATGTATTTGTGTGGTATTGATTTAATTTTTGTAGGTGCTGATGAAGCTCCATAGCCGCAACGGTCACGTTTTGTTAGTTATATTGTGAAGTTTGCTGATATAATTTTTTTTGTTCGGTTTTATATATTTTTTTCATTACGCGACAGCAACATCGAACTTTATGTCTCCGTTCATCAGGTGGTTCTTGGTGTTGCATGCACATTCGTAACACAGAAACAAAATGGCGACTGTACTTACAGAGTGTAACATCAAAGAACAACGTCCTGTTGTCTGTTGGGGGAAAGGCGCAAAAGAGCTTCTAGCAAAGGACATTCATAAAGAAATGCATCCTGTTTATGCTGACAAATGTTTATCCTGTAAAGAGTTGCATAGCTGGGTATATAATTTTTCTCAAGGACGCTCTACGATTGTTCATGAAGTCCGATCTGGTCGTCCTATTGAGATTGCAATAGAAGCATCCATGCAGTAGGTGCAGAGGTAATTAGATGTGACAAGCGAATAACGGTTGACTCTGTAGAAGCTGCAGTAGGGTGCTCACATGGTTTTTGGTCCACTGAAAACCCACCTTGGCGGGAGACTTGTCATGAATGACACAGGGGTTGAATATGAAGTGAAAATGTGGTTTCGAAAACAGAGCATTCAATTCTATGTATCAGGTTTGGCCGGACTGATAAAACGATTGGACAAGTACATCAATAATGGTGGAAGTTAGGTAAAAAAATAAAGGGACAGTGTATGTTTAAAAATAAACTTTTCAAGTTGTTATCCTTGTTAGTTTTTTTTAGAACCAATTGTGATGCTCAAGTTGGACCAATATTCACATCTAACAGCAGAGTGATAAGGTAGTCAATGGGAACGCTGTTGTAAGCATCCTTAAGACCACTGGCGATCGCTGTTTGAAAGCCAGCCTGGATGACTTCATTGGTGTCATACCCAAACACTGTAACATTGGTCCAGGTATCCCTCTCTGATCAAAATCCTCCAGTATTATGTTATCACAATCGACATTACTGTACACTAGGTATTCCTATGCGTGCTCAGTCCTCCGATGCAGCAGCCACTCCAAGGTACTTCTACTAATTTTTCCCATGAGAAGCTGGTTATATTGTCTCCTATTTTGGCCTCTAAGATGGCATAAATAAATAAAGATGGCATAGACGTGCTTCACTCCCATGTCACGCAATCGTGTTAGTGTCAGGGATTCCGTTATCCACTAGCCCAGGACATACAGCGATGATATTTTCTCTGTCCTTGCTTCTTCCCACACTCATTTCCCTTTATGCCTGCATGACCAGGCGCGTAGATCCAGATGAGGAAGGTTAAGCGCAATTTTTTTTATGCTTTCTACCTATTCAGAGCGCATACCGCATGTTGCGACTGGACTTCGCTTATAATTGAAATACTAAATGGCTAACAAATCTTTCTTGCTACTGTAACTTGGTAAATAAGAAGGATAATTATTTCTTATGACTGCAGGTATTAGTACCAACTGGTATGAAATTACGACAGACTATAGAAATATTCTTCTTCTCTGGTTCACTTGAAACAGATTATCTGTACCTGCAGTGTTGTCTCTGGTATGAACTTCACTGCCTGTTGTAACTTAATCAGCAATCCACAAAGTTTGGCTTGACCAAAAAAAAAAAAAAAAAAAATGCAAAACCCAAGTGAACAACATGAAAAAACTATAAATAAGTTTCCTACATCACTGTAACTAACTAGAAAACATATAAATACAATAAAAGGACAAAAAAGATCAGCTAATAAATCACTTGTTTAATAAATTTGATATGCATTGTGTGACAGAAAGTTTCAACAGAGACACTGAAAACATTTTGCCAGTATAACTGATTCAGTCATGGAGGGAGGCACAGATTTGTTACTCATTACAACATTTGCATGCAAATGTAACTACACACTGGGTTGGTTTTTTAAAAAGTCAGAACAATTTTAATGAAAATCTTTGCCTCTGATCAACAAAACAATATGTACAACAAACAGCAGTAGTTCCTAAATAGTGTGATTTGCTACACTAGTGAGTGCAAATAGGTGGGGATATTCATTCATTCAGAGGACATTCTAAGTATCACTCGTTGTCCTTTTGTGAGCTGAAGGTTGACTGTACTGTGTCTCCAATTCTCAGTCCAGACTGGTCAAAGCATACTGGCATAGGGGTGTGAAGTGTTAGACTGTAACTAATTCTTGGTCACAGCATATGCAGTGAGGCAGCCAGCTCCTTTCCTCCAAACAAGTTAAAAAAAACCGTAAACTGGTAACCATTTTTAATGAGGCTCTGCCGACCCCAGAGCCATACTGATTGTAAAATAATCATATCTTGACAAGGGACTGAATGCGGATGTCTTGACATAAAAAATGATTAACTACTATGTCGATACAGCTTCTCATGTTATTGACATATAAAGTGTCATTTTCTGTTGTCCAATTACCTTCAGCACAAATTGTTACAAACAAAAAGCTGTCTTTTCATGTCAAAATTATTGTAACTATGGTAAACAGCAAGTTTTTTAATTGGCCACATTAAAAAAAAAAAAGTCAGCATAGTAGGATTACATTTTTCAAAATGTACCAACCAAAGACAATTTGGGTAAACAATTTTTAGCCAGTTTTTTCATGTCACCATGTCAAATCATTAAACTAAAAAAATACATACTGACAATAGAGGGGTGTAATAATCTTTTACAGTCAGAATAATTCATCACATTTACAACAGCTTTTAAAAGAATTACTAAATTTTATAACAATTCTGGAAATTCACGCTTTGCATTTGTTTGGACCACCTTTAAACAATAATATTTAAGAGGGTGGAGGGGGGGGGGGGAAGGAGAAGAACTAGTAGTCCCCAGTGTGAGGTACAGTACCCCAGTTTAGGAGAGAAAAAAGACCCACTGTAACTGAATATGCATGTTGCAAAAAGTGACTAATTAAGGATACGCTGAAATCGAATGTTTTGGGCACACAGGTGCAAATTTTGCAGCCTACCTGTCAACCGCAACTGACAGTTTTAAGAGCAAGCAAAGAAGAACTACCCGATGGGAAAACACTTGAATCTTTATAAAATAACCAACAGTCTTTTTTTGCCCACACCCATGGGTAAATATTTTATTTGGGAAAACATAGGAATGTATTGTAGTAGGCACTTCACATATTCATTAATATATTACAACTAATAGAATAGTACCTCTAATATAACCAATTAAATAATGGAATCTTCTACAATACAACCTTGTAAAATGTAAACACTTTTTAACATAAAAATATAATAAGTGCATAATGAATATCGGAATGTAGAACAAACAAATTTCAAACTTTGATGCACTGACAGCTACAGATACACTCAAACTGGTCACATGTATGGGGCACTAACATTTATACTGGTCCTGTAAACAAACATGAGATATGACACACAAACAGAATTACAATTTACAAAATTAAAGTGCAGATATGAAACTATCCTGACTTTTACTATTGAAAACGAAATGCCAAGACAGCAGAAAGACAAGAAATTGCTTATAAACAAGTTTTTTTAACTCACTTTGCTCCGAACAGGGCATCATTTATTGATGACCTCTTAGATTACTTCATCTCCAACTGACCAACAAAAAGATAAGAAAGAAAGAGACAGGTGCAAGTCAGCGGCCTAAGCACAAACAACTGTTTGGTAATTCTTGACAGCTGACGTTAAATGAATGTGCACAGAAAACAAAAAAGTTATCAAAGAAAGATTTTGTAGATTCTAGATAATTTTCAAGAATATGTATGTACACAGTCATAGTTTTTATGTTCATAAGTAACAAAATGAAAAACATAATTCAACACTCATTCACTTTATTTTTACAAGCACTCTTTACTTTCAATGCAAAATCAACTCAAATGTCCTAAATTTATTACAAACTGTTATATTTTCAAAACTGTTTGCCCACAAAAAGTAGTGATTCTTTATATGGCAAATAAAAAAAAAAAATGTGTGTTCATAATATGAAAAAGAACATCACAAAATACTAAATGATTGGTATATACTGTTTACTAAATCTGAATTTGCCAGTTTTCAAGACATGCATCCAAAACATGTGGTAACACCATGCACACAATAACTGAAGCCGCAAGCACACACTGAAAATTGCATAACAATTTGTTCAGCTTATGATCCTTTGAAATGTGATAGCGAGAGTCAACAAAACAGGAAGCGCAAGTGAAAACAGAGCCGTATGGCGTCCGGCACTGTTACATCCATCTTGGTTATCACAGTGACAGTGGCGCACCCGAATGTTGTATGTACCGTACATCTCCTCACATATTCTGCCTTCAAAGGCTCCAATGGTACCCCCTGCCGCACACTGGCGAATATATCGGACATCCCAATGGTCTTCCATCCACACTGAAACATACAACAAATAGAGCATTAACACAATTTCTAATCTGTACTTAAACAAGAATATAATTCTGCTCCTAAATATTCATTTTCTCAAAATATACAACAGAGTAAAAGAGACATCATAGATCACACCCTTGAAGCTAGGAGTGCTAACGTGGTCAACAGATGCTTAAAGAAGTTGCATGTGTTGGATGAAAGGTGCAGATATCACAGCGCTGACTAAACACCCACAACACATTTATTTATGTACAGCACAAAGAAAGTTTCTATAAAGTGTACATTTTATTGATTTATCTCTGGGGTGTTTCCTCCAAAGTCGAAGTGCATCTGCCCAAGAAGCAAGGAAACAACAGTCTGCATACAAATAAGCCATATTTGTAAAAGAAAACGGAAAGCTGGGTAAAAAACTAAAGTTCAGAAGCTGATGAACCACCAGATCGTTCAGCTGAGTTTACAGTTGGTGAATGCCAAGAGAAAGGTTTTGTATAAATTAGATCAACTTGATGTAGTGGGGTGGTCAGATTCCCCCACCTGTGCTTTTCCTACCCTAGGTACAGCTAAGCCCTGTACACATTAACATGCCCCCTCATAGTGATTTCCTGAGTGACACCATTTACTGGGCTGGCCTATATTATTTTCATTTAAGTGGGGTGCTTGGCCTGTGGACTTCAGCCATGTTCTAATTGAGTTCTCTGATGGGCTGACGAGTACTAGAGTATATTTCTGGGCACCGCATCTCTCTACATAGCCTAAAGTAATTATATTAGTACCAATCATCTTCCCTGCAATGAAGGTGGCTGAAAACTACATCTAATAATTCCACAAACTAACATACGTGGAAGTTGCAACATTACACATTTCAGTGGAAGTTGCAACATTACACATTTCAGTGGAAGTTGCAATATTACACATTTCAGTGGATGTAGCTACCAAGAGCATATCTTTACTCTATCATACAATAATAATTAAAAAAAAAAAAATCTGCATCTCTAAACTACACTGTAAAATATCTGCTTCCTCATAAAATTTCAGAGACTGACCAATTTAAACAACTGAAAAATCTGACCTATTATTGATACCCTATGCTTTATGCTAAAGATAGCTTGACTTTCATTAATCGTTCCTTAAAGTAACAAGCTTGTAGAATCAACATGTTAAAATAGTACATGCTCTGTACTGAAAAGATTAATGTACTATGACAATGTGATTTGTAACTGAAAATGTTTTAAAGTGGTGTCTCTAAAATGGAGCTGGTTGCAGTGGACATGTGCACTTATCACTGCCTTTGGTAAATTAATAATTTGGTAATTGGTAGTCTGGCCCCAATTTTTTTCCCAATGGCATGGCTCTCATACAACTGTCTGTAAGCCAAGAAAACTGTCTTCTAAATCTCCCACCATGGAAACTGAATCCTGGTAGAGAGATGCGGTTCCCAGAAATACTCTAGTACTCATCAGCCCATCCGCGCACATGATTGATAAGATACACAGAAAACTTAGAACCTAACTGAAATCTGCCGGCTGAGCACCCTACTTAAATGAATAAAATGCAAATGTCTGCCATCCAAAAGTCCTACTATATGACTTGGTTCAGACAGAAACACCCATTCACAGGGATCCTGATAGATCCTAATTTATGATACAAAAGGTTCAAACCTTAATTCGATATACGCAACTAGCAAATGACAGGAAAATACGTCCAACTCCCCTGCATGATGCTTTAGGGCAGAAGGACAAAAGAAGAAAAACAGGTACTCCTGTCAAATCCGGACGAAGAATAAAAAGCCTTGGACGACTTAGTCAGAGTTCTCTCCCTTGGGCGCACTGCGAACAGTGATCGGAAAAGCCACAACGAAACAAACTCGATGAGGCCGGCAGATCTATCGTAGTTGAAGTAGACGAGAGCTACTTCTTCCGACGAAAGTATCAGCGTGGTCGCACCACTCACGGTCGTTGGGCTAGTAGAGCGTCAGACTGGCCGTTGTTACTTGGAGCTTGTGCGAAAACGAGATGCTGCGACATTGGAGAGGATCATAACAGATCACATCCTGCCGACGTGGCAAACTTACGGCATGGCATCTATCTGCACGAGGTAGTAGTCCACCAGACCAACTTCGTCGACGCCGTACACAGTCACATACACACACAAACAATTGAGGGCCTCTGGATGCTGGTGAAACGCACCATTTGCCAACGATTGGGCACCAGCCGCACACTATTGGCGTCATATTTAGCAGAATTCCAGTGGCGCCACGCCCACAAACATCAGATTGTCGGCCACTATTTCCAAACCCTACGTCAAAATTTTAACATCTAACCCTAACCCTAACCCTACCCCTAACTCTAACCCAACAACCACACGATGATGACTACACAACCATTCACAATGCCTCACGAAACCGTACGCAGCCCTACACGCAACCGCAGGATGATAGGTAAGTGTGTCGTTTATTTCGTTTGTTTTCCTATTACTGTTCGGAGTGCGGCCAAGGGAGAGAACTCTGACTAACTCGTCCACGGCTGTTTATTCTTCGTCCGGATTTGACAGGAGAGCCAAAGATTCCAACATCCGTTACCACTGGCCACATTCACTGGAGTGTAAAAACCATACAGGGAATCCATACCTGATGCATATATCACATAAATGCTGCAAAAAGTGACAAGCGCCTAGTAAAAAGAGAAGTCTAACATACTGAGGAAGAGATATGTCCATTTTTTCAGGGAATCAAGAGTCTCAGGCTTGCAGATTGATTCCTGAGGACTCCCTGAAAGGTGCAGTCTGTAAAGAGTGGAGGGCTCAATATACAGATGTGAGGTTAAGCGGTCATGTACAGGGCATGTTAACTCCTTGGGGCAGGCCCAGTACCAGAGCACCGTGTATTAGCTCAGCATTTATTTTAGCCTCCTTGGGTGGCAGGGAATAACTATGCTCTGGCTTTTCTTGAGGGTTGACCAATCTGCACGAAGCTGTGCTAGATAGGCTCTTCTAGGAACAACACCGGCATACTCACATCGGCGAACGGGTCGCCCGCAGATGACAGTATTTGGATCTGACTCCGTTGATCACATCAACACTGCAGGAGTAATTTTTCAGGGCTCTTGGTGGCGTGCAAAACTAAGCCATTATATATATCACACATAACCTAAAGCTCCCCTTTTGGGAATACTGGTTTAATGTAAAGCACCTATCTACCGGTGGACCAGGGGATGAAGAAGTTACAACACACACGAGGCTACACATGTCCCACAAAATCAACCAGGAATGCTAGTTCTATAACAAATCAAATGCCTGGAGAAGTTAGATGTCTCAGCCCAAAGTCATTAATATCACAGTTATGCTGTGAACAGGCACAACAAAATTATGTCACTTGGACAAAGGATGAAAAAGAACCCTGACAATCTAAGATGCAGTGCTGCACAAATATAATTCATATTCTTTAACAAGTAATATCTGTAAAAGATATAGTGGTCCCTGTGTGGGTTTCGGGGCCTCAGTGTAAAAGGGGTGGGGGGGGGGAACAATAATTAGCCGTTGCTTATCCAAAAGCATATTGTAAAAGTCAACTTAATGGGAGCTTCCTTCAAAGTCGGAGTGCATCTGCCTGAGAGGCAAGGAACCAACAGTCTGCGTAGACATGAGTCAGATCTGTAAAATGGAGGTGCACGCAACACTACAAGTTCTGGAACAGGATTAGAGTCCAGAAGTGAGAGAACAAGAATTGAAATAGACTAAATTTACTGTCACCGAAAAAAACAACAACACATGATATTACCTTCTTGGACAACTTTTCGACATTTTGGCTGCCAATCCTCACAAGCTACCAGATGCTGAGTAACGTTGTCAAACCAATCAGAACAATCCGCTTGGTGGAAGGAGTTGCACACAAAACATTTAATGGCCAACCCTGCAAATATAAAGTTTTAGAGTGCCAATGATTTCAAACAAATTCACTTGCTAATTACTCATTACTGCAAGTTTACAGTGGAAAAACATTGTTAGCAGAAATTCCAACTGACTAGTAGCAATAATCAGGGTTTGTAGACAAATTCACAAATTTTTAAAAGGTTTTTTCAAGGTATGTTTGATTTATCCAAGTGTGTTACCAGGCATATGCAACAACTGATTTGTATGCACAAATGTGGATTTACGCACACATATGCAGTGTTTTTTCATCTTTTCTAGATCTGGTGGCAGAGGGGAGCAGACTGAAAGGATGATCATTATTAACTCTTTGAGTCCCAAAGAACGCATCATACGTTCATAGATTCCTATCTAGAAGCCCAATGAACGCAAGATGCGCCGATTTTACATCTCTCTTGACTACCCCTTGGGCCTGTGATGCTAAACCCCCTGGGACTCAAAGAGTTAACATTAGCAAAATGGAATGCTTGGCAGTTTTCAAGACAACTCAAATTTCCAGTCTGCTTTATATATGTTAAAGCCAGAACCATCCAACAGGTTAGTCATTTTCTACATGTAGGCTACGTTGTGATCTCTGATGAAAGATACTATAGGCAAGAACATGACAAGAACTGATGAAAATTTGAGTACATGGTGCATGTAGAAGAAACAAATGCTGACAAACTGAAAGCTGGACTTGAGAAAATCACCAGAGAAAGAAATGTACGAGGAGAAGTCAATATGTAAGTCAAAAATGGTTGTTAAAAAAAAAGATTATTACTTGAATATTAAATTTTCAGAAAACCCTTTATTTTTACACAAATACTTTCTCTTTATTATTTAACATAATTTCTGTCAACACTGATGCACTTGTCCCATTATTTTTTCAACCTGCTGCATAGAACTGTGTGTTGTTTTCTAAACAACATTTTTACTTCGATTTAACTTTCTGCACCACTCGCAAAATGTCTCTAATTCATAGAACGGTACAAATAAGTAGCATCACAAGATGCCCCATACAAACAACCTCTCATGGACTATATTTGTTTGCCAGTGTTCTTGGAATATATATGTTTACCAGTGTAAGTATTCTTGGATTATATGTTTGCCAGTGTTGTTGGATTATATGTTTGCCAGTGTTGTTGGACTATATTTTGCCAGTGTTCTTGGACTATATGTTTGCCAGTGTTCTTGGACTATATGTTTGCCAGTGTTCCAGAACTATATGTTTGCCAATGTTCTTGGATTTTTTGTTCGTTAGTGTTTTTAGAATATATTATGTTTGCCAGTGTTTTTGGGCAAATGTTGCCAGTGTTCTTGGATTATATGTTTGCCAGTGTTCTTGTATTATTTTTGTTAGTGTTCTTGGACTATATGTTTGCCAGTGTTCCAGAACTATATGTTTGCCAATGTTCTTGGATTTTTTGTTTGTTAGTGTTTTTAGAATATATTATGTTTGCCAGTGTTTTTAGACTATTAATTATGTTTGCCAGTGTTTTTAGACTATTAATTATGTTTGCCAGTGTTCTTAGCATCACAGGATCATCAAGATGACCCATACAAACTACCTGTCGTGGAATATTTGTTTGCCAGTGTTCTTGGACTATAATATGTTTGCCAGTGTTCTTGGACTATATGTTTGCCAGTGTTCTTGGATTATATGTTTGATAGTAACAGCTCGTCATTGTTACTGTTAGCATTCTGGTTCTCCTGTTTTTTCATATCATTTAAACATGTGTAGAGTAGATATGAACTTACATCTGGTGAAACTAGTGCAGACCAGTGAGTGAGTCAGAGACCAAATGTGTGTCACCGTGTCAGTTGTTACCCTAGTACTCTTGTTTGGATTAGTGACATGTTGAAGCAGAGACTCTTATACACGGATTTAACACTAGTTTTGTATCAGATGTCTTTGGTAAAAGAGTCTTGAATGTTTCCCTAATTTGTAAAGTTAAAGTCCATTATTTTCTTTTCATCGTTACTTCCGCATACGGACATTGCGGTGTTGTTAAACGATGTATATTTTGCTAAAAGTAAAAGTTATTATAAATATCCTAAAATTCAATAATAAAGTATACCTTGTTGAACAATTAAAAACGTTGCCACAACGGTTGCCACCACTGCAAACAGTTTATTCATGATAGTCAGTATCTATTCAATCCCGACGTTGTGGAAACCACCTCAGATTTTGTGGTCTTCCTAACACAGGTAGACATTACTATCTGGGTCACTCTCGTTCAGGTACGACTTCCGGTTTATGTGACAGATTCGAAACTATACATCTGACATCAAGAACAAAACACGAAAGTTAGAAAATATATTAATGTATAGTATGCTACATTCTTAAACATCAGTTATAAAGTCCTTACAATCTTCTCTTTTTTTATTTTAAGATTACTGATCGGTGTAAAAGGAGTTATTAGACAAAGGAAGCACACCTGAGATTTCAAGGTAGCTCCGTATACCTTACAAAAACTTGACGACAGGAATCACAGCAGGAGAAATGGCGTTCATGCGCTTCTACCGTCCTCCTTTACCTGCAGCGATATTATTTCTGGCCTTCGTCTCCGGAGGTATGACATTATTGTTATAATTTTAAGCTTGCCGGCTATTCCTAATTGTTGACAAAGCAAGGAAATGCACGATGCACTAAAATGACTGACCCTTTTTAATTCATTTAAAAAAAAAGGTACCTAAGCCATCTGTCCCCAGCATTTCCGGGTGTAGTTTATTTTGTCCCACATTTTTAACAAAATAACTAATAATATTATCATAACAGAACGTTGTCTATTGTAGACATTTAAATATACTGATACTCAAATGGTTTGATAATTTAGTGAAAATGTCCTTAAATATACCAACAAAAAGTTTTTATGTTGGGCTACATATAACTCAGTTTGAGTTAGTAAAGTAAAGACAGACAGTCAGTAAAACTAAAAAAAAAAAGCTTTGCTGTTACTGTGACTAGTGACTGTGATTATTTTATATAATAATCAGTGTTATTTTCTAATATAAATATAATTTTAAACCACAGTTTGTTTGTCTTCAATTAATTCCCTGGGACTGTTAATGTAATAGACTGTAGTGACGACATCAAAGGCATTGGTAGGCTGCATCCACAAGGTGCAGATACAATACATAGACTAAGACAGCACTTGTGGATGACTTGTGTTGTTGGATCAATTCTTCGTTCCTTCTGTCAGAAAACCTATATGAGGAGGCCGATGGCCTTTATGAATGCTAACATGCAGTCCATATCTTCTCGTGTACCATACAGTCATACAGCTTTGTCTTTATTGTGGTCACAACAGGTCCGATTGTGTTTATGTTGTCAGCATACACATACAGTTGACAGTGTTGGAGCAAATGACATGCTCAGCATTTTCAGATGCCACGCTGCAGGGACACGTCTCCGTGTTTCTTACACCAAATGTTGAATTAAGAATCAACATCACAGCACTCTGGACACCCCCTTAAGCGTTCCATTCCCATCTTCAGCAGCAAGCGAAAAGTTAAAATTCCGATAATACCAGTATCTGATTGTATATCTGTTTGCCTTTCCCATGAGCATCAACCAGATCCCCTTGTAACTGCCTGCAGTGCCATTCTCCTCAGACCGTAATGATCTATCTATTTCTCAGCACTGTTCACTCTCTCCCAAAGGGCCCTCACAACATCTAGCTTGTCATACATCACTTCACCACTAAGTGGTGCAGAACTGGTCAGTCTATCTGCCTGCTCATTTTCCAACACACGGCATACCTGAAGAAAATATCCAAAGGATGCTAACTACCCGGTAATTCCTACAACGAAAACTTTTTTGACTGGCGCACATGAGTAATATCTAGCACCCACGGTGTTGCATTGTTTGGAACTGAAAGAGTTCGGGTTTGACACCACAGAATCTGGATATTTCAATGAGCCACATATAAGATGTCAAGCCAACAGCAGTAGATACCTCGTTCAACTGATGTTGTTATAATCAGCATGTTGTATATTATTATGTAGTAATTTCTGTTGATAGCTATATGTTGTGTGTGTGTTAGTTATATGTTGTGTGTATGTACATAATTTACATACATGTATAAAGTATATGTGTGTATGAATGTACAAGAACAGTCTTTTTCTAAACCACACCATTAGAATGGAACCCTTGTGCCTCAGAGAGGACGAGACTGATGAGACTTAGTAACCACTAAATGACAAACACAGCTTAACTTCTACATTAGGCCAATGTGACTAGTTATGAAAATGTTTATAATTAACATGTCCACAATTTTATTCCAGGTTTGGCCATTCAATGCTACCAGTGTGACAGTAATGAGGACTATACTTGCCCATCTGGCTATGCCTTTGATAAAACAGTTAATGCCATGTTGGACTGTAACGGCTTTGAAGCTGACATTCCTGGCCAGTTTTGTGTGAAGATATACCAAGAAAGCCCTGGTTGTAAGTTCACTTAATTAATGCCTGGCTTGTTCTTTGGAGGACTGGTCATATATTTTTTTTTTTTTTTTTGAAATAAAGGCGTTTAGGGAATTTCACATTCTTATAACTTAACTGTTTGGTATAATTTTCAAATACAACATAGTTCATGAATTTTTAGAAAACAAAAATAATGACCAGAGACAAAACTGGCTTAAGCCCAAAAATTACAATAAACGATGGGGAAATTGAAAATGTCACAAACTTTGAATATGTAGGCTCTGTAATAAATAGCAAGGAAGACTGTTTGACAGATGTCAGAAAGAGGATTGCCTTAGTGATACAAAGATTAAACGACGTTAGAAGTCTGTGGTTATACACCAGGAAGAAAATCAAATTTTTAAATTTTGAGAGCATGCATCTTCCCTGTAGCAGCATATACAGACGTGAGTCATGGACTATATTCCAGTTCTTAACTCTTTGAGTCCCAGAGGGTTTAGCATCACAGGCCCAAGGGGTAGTCAAGATAGACGTAAAATCGGCACATCTTGGAAGACTAGGTCACCCCCACTCAAACAGGCATGTTGTACAAGTTGACTAGTTAGAGGTGTTTTCTTCAAAGTTAGAGTGCATCTGCCTGAAAGGCGATATGCAACATACAAATAAGCCAAATCTGTAGCACAGATGCAGATTTCAAGTTCTGGGACAGAATTAAAGTCCAGAAGTAGATGAACAATTAGAACTTTCTGCTCAAGTTTACTGCTATTGATGGCTGAGAAGAAGCAGAGAATGACAAATTATGTGGAAGTTGCGGGTTTTGTTTGTTAGAATGATGATGATAACATCATGGATGATTTACCAAAGATGCCTTGAGAAATATTAACTAGTTAAAACAACTTGTTACATCAAAGGACAGCAGTCTACATTCTTTGTCAGTATGACAAGAAGGGGAAAACTGGAGTGCAGCATAGCAACAGGAGTGTTGGAGGGGAAGAGAATTAAAGGGAAGCTAAGAGAGAAGGATAGTTACTTGGCCTCAGAGAATCAGAGCATACTCATTAGAATACAATTACACACAATTATGCCCACTTTTCTTGTCCTATACCTGTGAAAAATAAATCTTCGATAAAATGTCATTTTTGTTTTGTCCAGGGGGTGGATGGCAGAAGACTACAAGACGGTGTGGATCAAGAACTTCATTTGGTAATTGTTGTTTTGTTTTAAAGAGATCTTTTGTCTGTTTATTGTCATGCACTTTTTTTGGTGAACTGTTTGCCAATTATTAATTGGCACTAGTTTCTATTTTGTGCCAATTTATTTTCATTTTAGATCTTGTTTCATTATTTTGATCTGTTGCTATTTCTTTGTTTGACATTATACTCTCTGTTTTCTTCCATTCTTTCTTCATGTGAGGATCCTGTTTCCTCGTTATCATCTGTTACTGTTTCTTTGTTTTCACCTGTTACTGTTATTGTATTCAGCATTTATGGACTCTTCATTCTGATACATTTATAAACTCCATTCTGATAGAAGGTGTATGGCAGAACTGTTGTGAGGTCTTATGTGTTTGCAGATTTTTGGACACAACTTAACACATTTTCTCACTTGGCAGCCTTTCCCCCATATTTGGAAAATGGCTGGTTCCCATGGCTTGATCAAGTGGCAACTTTCTGACTTTCCAGACGATACTGTTAAATTGCGCTATGAGGAGGCATGGGACTCACAGTTGCAAGTGTGACTAGCAAGACCCGCCTGTGTTAAGAAAAGTCTTTCATGATTATAGCATGGAATTTCAAGGCCATTGTTGTCAACATTTGTTTAGTGTGTTTCTTCTCAGATGATCAGCTTTGGGAGTTAGTGAACAGTATGGAGGCCGAGATAGATCATTACGGTCTGAGGAGACTGGCACTGCAAGGAGTTAACAGTGGATCTGGCAGATGCTAAACACTCATGAGAAGGGCGAGATGGATATACAATCAGACAGTTACTGGTGCTATCCGAATTGGAACTCTTCACTTGCTGCGGGAGAGGGAGAGCTTATGGGAGTGTCCTGAGTGCTATGATGGCGATTCCTAATTCAACATTAAGCAAAATTTGCTCAGCTGTCATCCTTTCTGCGATCATTTTTTTCCTTCTTTCCCATTCCATTCCTGATATGCCCCCACCGCACAACACGGTCCATGGTGTTCTGTTTTCACGAGTCCACCTCAGTACCTGTACCTTTCGTAACCCACCTGCACACATCTTTATATCATAGTAGAGGTCGTCTTGATCAACCCTAGAGCTATACTAATTGGAAATACAAATCCTGCAACTGCTGGAATAGAACCTAGACTGCAGACTTGACAGGCAGTGGAATAATCACAGTTCTGTTACATTTCATTACATCGGAGGGATGAGTTTAAGGATAGGTTATACACATAGCCTTGATTACTTTTAAGGGCTGTTATATCCATGGATTTTATTAATCTGCTTCAGTTTTCCAAGTGTTATTTATTAGATTAGCTAAAGTGACCTCGGGAGTCGCCGTGGCAGAGTGGCTAGACGCTCACCTCGGATAAGAAGGTCGTGGGTTCGCTCCATATCGAAGCCAGACTTTTTTTTTTAAAATAATGACCTTGGCTGCAAGGTCGACCCAGCCTTGAGTGGGTACCGGGTGCAGTCCCGTGAAGTAGGTACCGGGTGCAGTCCCAGGAAGTAAAGGTGGCCAGCGTGATGCTGACCACATCACCAATCTTGTGCCGATTGGTCTATGAAAATATAGGTCTAGCCCTATACGCCCAAAGGCGTGGAAAAGGGTCCTTTACTTTTTATAGTGACCTCACCAGCAAATACATGGTTCTACTAACTTTGTGAACACTTTGAGAAAAGCAATTATGTGGTTTCAAACCTAGGGAGCATGCCCCCTATCCCTCCCCCAGTTTAGATGTGAGGAAGGTCCAAAGGGGACGTTAAGCAGTTCTTGAAAATGAGTTCATTTATGCTTATAATAATCATTTTATTTATTAACATTTAAAAGTTTTTGTGTGTAGTAAATAAAGTTTTTTAAAAACTTTAAAAAACAAAACCCAATTGCAAAAAAAAAAGGTTGGAGACTGCTGTTGTAAACGGACATAAAGCATTTTCTTCTTCGACAGAACGCAGAAGAATCGAAAAAAGTATAATTGTTTCTGTTCAAGTGGTTGATGGTTTTTGTATCTCACTCTCTTGTCTGGTTTGTCCATCAGGTGTGGCCTGGGGGTGTAGATGGTCTTGGGACTACACTGGAGTGTTCATGGAGACGTGTTACTGTGAAGATGCTGATGGCTGCAACGAATCAACCCGCTTGTCTTCTAGTGTTGTGCTGCTTTCTCTGTCTTTATTTTCAGCCTTTTATTATTTGTTAACTCGTGTGTAACCATTATGCTGTTTTGTTCTGATTGTCACTGTCACTAAACATGTTACTGGAGAGAACATTAAGAATATCTTTCAGTTTTAAATTTAGCTAATTAATATCAAAGTGTTTAGTACTAATACATTTTTTGTCTTGGTTTTTTAGTTAGCTTATGCATATTTTTTATATTTTGGAATGTTATCGCAAAAAGCAGCTTTTACAATTTTATTATAAATTATCAGGTATTTATGTTATAAAATCTAACACAATATAGTATAGTCATGATTTATAATTAGTTAGGTCCTGGCTAGGTTTTAGGGATCAAACGAAGAGTCTAAAAATATTTTTTTGTTGAATTGTTTGGTCACAAATTGGTGGCGTTTTAGTTCATTTCTTTCCATCTTCATTTCTCAAATAAAGTAATCTATAATGAGTTTAAATTCTCTTATTGTCAGTTACTTGTTTAATACAAGAAAATAACATTACATACAAATGCTTGGTCTTCATTTAAATAAGTTATTTCACTTTGTTCCAATCTGAAATAGAAACAGAAGAGACAAAGATTGATAATCTCACATCACAGATATAAAATGGATTGTGTATGAAGTCTTTGATACATGTAAACAAGGCATGAGGATATTGGGGAATAGACACCATGGCTTGCTAAGAACAAGTTTCTAACTGTAACACAAGGTGATACATGAACTCCGTTGAAGGAGACTATTTACAAAAAATCAAATTTAAAAAAGAATTGAATAGCTGGATTTCCCTGTGTGGGATCCTGGGCCCCATTGTGGGGCAAACAAGAATAAACCCACTGCCTGCCTAAAGGCATGTCATAGGAGTCGACTAATTAGGAGCTTCTATGAAACAGCTAACTAAAACAATATACAGAGAAGGTATAATGCAGAATCTTTATGTCATTATGCTTTTTCCTGTGTCACTCGTATGTGCCATGTTACCTCTGTTTATCTTTCCTACATCAGGGCAAATATCCATATAAATAAAGAAGTTAGTTATTTCCTATACAAGCAGCTGTCCATTCAAGTAACATTCCATGTAACATTCCTCAAACAGTTCTCCAAAATTGTAAGTTAACCATTAACATTTTACATGGGGAAAGTTAGAAAGTTTACGACATGTGCCTTATTCGTTATTATTGTATGTGACATGAAATCTAGTTGTTAACTTTTTCGTATGTTAGTGTGCAAAAAAATGTTATTGGGTGAATATATGATTTTCAGAAAGACTAGTTTTAGACTGTATGTAACTGTAAATTTGAAAATGTTTGTTCTGAGTGTGTTTCTGAATGTGTTTGGCTGAAACGGGAGGATATTTCATCCGCCACCATATAAAACATATCACGCTGTAAAATAAACTGGTTTATTGTGTAACACTGTAAATAATCTGTTTTTATCCATTTGCATATGTTATACTGATGTGTTGATTTCACTAGATTAGATGATCAATATGTAAAAAGAAATGTAGTGGGGGGGGGGGGGTGGATTAGTTTGACATAGGGTATGGTATGTCTACTCTGGCAAAAGATTTTTATTGAGGCTTTAAGTGACATTATAAGAGTCGTCATATTTTCAAAGAAAGAGGTGGGGGCACATCCACAGTCTGCCAAATCCAGCTGCGATTCATTGTAGCCCACGGCCGGTGTTCGGAACCGGGCTGTTCCCAAGGTTCACCCAGCCTCTAGGAAATAGGTACGAGAGTTAACACTCTGGGGTAAATGGAGGAACGTTGCTGTAGCTATGGAATTGCATGCGGACAGGTGACACAGGCGGACAGTTTCCAAATAGCTGTCAGTACTGGTGGCAGAGCACTTATGGTTTATGTGCAATGACGCTGGTTCAAATCTCCCGACTTTACATTGACCTCTATTGTAGAGTTGGAAAAACGAAACAATCTTTCAGTCGTGAATCGCAAAGTAAACACGGGACAGAGGTTTAATACAGTGTTTTCCCAAAAATAAGAGGTATTAATTCTCACCCTAAAAGACATGCAGTACTTTATTTTCCAGGGGATATTTATTTTGTCATCAGCAAAAATCTACTTTTGTCATTTTTTAGATCAATAATTAGAATAATAATATTTATTTATACATTCATTACTTGGTAATTGACTATTTTATGTTTCAATGGACAAAAATATATGTCTGCCTATCTGACGATTTTTACTAGGGCTTACATTTGGTGTAAAGCTGTTATTACAAGCATCTAGAAAAATTATGCTAGGTTTTTTCTAAATGGTTCTTATTTTTAGGAAAACACTGTATTTATATATTAAACATATTTGTTTGGTAGAGTTTATGTTCATTTTACTTTCCATCATGAAAAACTCCCTCTTGTTATTTCAGAGTCTTGTGTTACGAATAAGAAAATATAAATGATATAGATAAGTGAATGATCCTGTTTTATAAATACTTATTAAGTTGGATTATTGTCAAATTATAGACAAATAAATTTATCAGAATCAAACATTCCAGTTACTGAGTTTTTCCTTTTGAAACTGACTATTTTGTGTGCTTTATTATGTCATTAAATGCAGACCCGCATGCTAGTGTATAAATGTTAGCAACCTCAGATTTCTTAAGCAAGATATATGAACTCCTTGGCTTCTTTCATTCTCGCAAGAGGCTCTGAAAAGAATAAACCTATATAATAATATGACTATCAAGAAGCATGTTTAGTAAAATGCATGCACACACTCACATGCATACATTCATAATATACACATACATTCGTACATAGAGACACAAATGCAGACGGACACCCACATTCACAGGCACACACCAGTGCAGAAACGCAGGCAGACACACACAACAAAGATAAACAAACACTTGCATAAACAAATGCAGATGCACATACACACACCAAAGACCCAGACAGACACACAATCTTTTACAATTACCAATACACACACTTGTACATACATAACAAACACGCCTACACATAAAGTAAAAGTTAGTTGCGTATCCTCTACAGGACGTTGCAGAACCAACCCCAGCATTTTTTTGGCTGTTGTGTTCCTAGACAAGTTTACGTCAAGTAGTTAGCCATTGCTTTCTGGACGGCCGGCATCCTGATACCACTGTCGAAACCAGCGCAAGGCCTGCAGCTGGGATCGAACCTGGCACCCCGGCATTACAAACTGCGTTCGTAACGCCTACACATATTCACATAATACCACACATATGCATGTCACGCATACGCATATATAGACACCTTTTCAAATAAATAATAAATTGAAAATGTCGTATGGATTAATAACTACATTTAGGGTAGTATATAATCACCAAGAGTACTCATTACCTGGAGAGGCACATTCCCCACCAAATGCAGCTCCACTAGTGAAAGACAAACCTATATTAACTTCCATCGAAATAATGTGGGTGGTTCCAAATCATTTCGTCGCCACTTGAATATTCTCCTCTCTAGTCCAGGCACAGGATAATTTTTAATGAGAAACCCAGATGGTCTACAGGCGGGGCCACAACCTAAAGGATATACTTTTTAAAAGCAGATTTCCACACAGCAATTCATTTTGGAACCAAAGAATGCTACTGTAACAGGTGTCAAACGTGTCCATTCGATATACTGACCTCGTAAGACTGTTTTCCTTTTGGTTAATTCCAGACTAAGAAAGCATTTACTTGTGAATACTGAAACTTTACCTATGCTTTTATCTGTGACAAACGCAGAAAGAAAAACCTTGGAGATGTGGAGGAAGCTAGCTGATCGATTCCGTGAATATCTTTTAAATATTGAAAAAGAGGCCCCCAAACCAGTTTGTCAATTTCAACTGCCCTGACCACAGTGGCGGAGATGATATATATATGTCGCTACAGTAATATATTGCTATGGTGATCAAATCACACGATTCTCTTTGGAAAATCGCCTCTTTCATAGGTTAGGTGTTCTGAGCCTAGCAAGTATCAATATTCAGCATGCCTTCATCTAATTATTCCTACTTTCATGTTATCTTTTCAATTCATTTTAATCTATCTTTCATTGTTACTGTTTATAGAATCGTACTATTTTAATTCCTACCATTATTATTATCATCACTAGTAGTTAGTTAAGTTGTACCCCACCAGGACATCACACAAGCGATAACATCCGGTGACACGAAGTGCCACCATACGGATGAGGATCACCCTTGGAGAGGTCCGGGAAACCCTGGGCAGTCGTTAGGCCATATTTAAGACCCCCAGCAAAAGCCAGGGTTAGGAGGACCCTTTTCCACGCCTTTAGGCATATAGGGCTAGACCTATATTTTCATAGACCAACCGGCACAAGATGGGTGATGTGGTCAGCATCACGCCGGTCGCCTTTACTTCCCAGGACTGCACCCGGTACCCACTCAAGACTAGGTCGACATGGGAGCCAAGGTCATTTTTGAAAAAGTCCGGCTCCGCCAGGGAGCGAACCCACGACCTTGCGATCGGCGGCAAGCGTCTAGCCGCTCGTCCACGGCGACTCCCAAAAGCCAGGGTAGCTTCAAAATAACTAAAAATTGCATCCCACATGGGGACGACGCTTTTGTATCATCACTGACGTCATTGTTACTATTATTTGACTACTGCTACAATTATTACTCCTGTTTTATTGAGTATTACTTTTTTCGCCCCTTTATTTTTTTCTATTAGGTCTAAATCTGTTCATTTTGCTATCGTTTACAGGGGGACTAGTGGTAGCCATACTCTGCCGCTTGCTGTTGTGGTTTATGTCGAGAAAGGCTCCAGGTGAAATGAAACATCTGATTTTGTTAAGTTTTTGTCACAGTTCAGGAAAACACGGAATTTCTTAGTTGTTTCCCTTGTATTAGGAAATGTGAAAGCATATTTTCCAAACTTAGTGTAGAACGTTCAAAGCCACGGTAAAACAAACATTTTTCAATCTATTTGTAGTGAAATAAAAGAGCATTGATCCCAGTTCAGTTTGGTGTTTACCTAATGTTTTCCAGTCCTTTCAAATTAATTGCGTCATGCTATGATTAGCAATTGCATTCATTCC